AAACTGATAAGCTAATCAAAGAGAGACCGACACTGCCAATCTTTTCAAGTGAGCGACCTTCAAATCGATGCTAATTAGATTAGCAGACAACTGTAGTTTTCTGTGCTTCAGTTTGCTTCTTTGCTTGATTGAAGTCGGTTTAGCGGCCGATCCTTTCGTTTTCTATGACTGGACCGTCTCTTACGTCACGGCCTCCCCTCTTGGGGTTAAACAACAGGTGGGTTTTGCTTACTTTTTATCCTACATTTTGGGTTTTTAAGTAATTTGCATTTTGTGCAATGTTTTCTGACTAATGTAGTTTGTTAGTGAATCAAATTGGGAATGGCCATGTTGCGTGACTCGTACTGGGTAGATTTGGTTGATTGTTGAAGTTTCAAGCATGATTTTCTGATTTGAGCTGGCTTACATGTTCTGGTGATACCCTGTTTCTAGACTTGATTGTGGTTGGTCTCATGGGATTTTTCATCCTAGCTTTTGTCCAAACATTAATTAAATAAAAGGGACATATTCGAAGTATTTTCAATGGTATGCTATCTCTTTCTGAATTTACATTTGTTGATGATGTTTCCTGACTATGAAGGCTTCTAATCGTATGAGTTTGGATGTAACTTATCAGTCGTGTTCTTTATGCAACCCAATGATTTTGCAATTACTCTATTCGAAGTCAATGTAGATGTTACAAATGTTCGAACATTTTTTCTTATCTTTTGAGCAATTTAGTGAGACGTCGCAACATTGTTTTCTGTTGCGCCTCAAAAACGTTGTACTCATGACCAATATTTTTCTCTGTGATAAATTCCAATCAGAGCAAGCTTAAACAATCATGTGAAAAAGTGCCTAGCTTATGCCGCATTTTTCTTATAAGGATCCACCTGGTACATTGCATCTGTTTCTTGCACACAAGCTCGAATTTACATTTATATACCACCTATATGCTCTCGTCCTTACCAAAGAGGCTTGTTACTTTTGAGGATTTCTTGCTGGAAATGCCTAAGATATATAAACTACGGTCTCTCATGCGATCTATGTACAAGAAAAAGGTTCCAAACAATAGGTCTCTGGTACCTCATAGGAAGAGGTCCATCTGACTGGTCAGCTGAAGCGTAAAAGTTCAAAGGGTTTCTTGTAGTTGTTATTGGTGAGGTTATTTTAATACGCTGGAATTGTGCATTGACCTGTCGACGTTGGTAGCAGCTACTGATCCAAAATTTTTAGTTCAGTAAGAATTATGTGATGTTACGTTTTGAACATCTGAACTTATATATTTATTTTGTTTTATATTTGAAGAGGTTGAGTTGGCATTACTGTAATGGGAAAAAGGTACATGTGGTCAAGTCTTTCAGAAATGTTTCGATGCTATGTATGATCCCATATTGATTGCTTTACATTAATTTTTATATTTTGACTAGCATTTGTTAAATTTATTAGTCTTCTACATTCTACACCATTCACATCCTCATTCAATATTTCCCCTTAAGTTTTTTTTTATTGTGAATGGAGAATGGAGATCTTTTTACTCTGATTATGGTAGATTTTCGCTGCATTCTTGCTTTATAGTTCATAGATAGTAATTCCTTTCCCACCTGATTTTTTTTTATAGAGTTCAATACAAATACCTTTTAGCTGAGTCCCTAAACTCTGTTCCTTTAGGTGATTGGCATAGAGGGACAATTTCCAGGGCCCATTCTGAACGTCACCACAAATTGGAACCTCGTCGTCAATGTCAAGAATAACCTTGATGAGCCATTCCTCCTGACATGGTATTTCTGTTTAATCCCAACCAATGCCTTAGTGCACGATAATGATAAGAGATTAACTATTCTTGTAGAAATGCAGGAATGGCATTCAACAAAGAAAAAACTCGTGGCAAGACGGCGTTTCAGGGACAAACTGTCCCATTCCTGCTGGTTGGAATTGGACGTACCATTTTCAGGTCAAAGATCAAATTGGCAGTTTCTTTTACTTCCCTTCACTCAGCTTCCAGCGAGCTGCGGGTGGCTATGGAGGTATCATAATTAACAATCGAGAAGTTATTCCTGTACCTTTCGGGACACCAGATGGGGATATTACCCTCTTTATTAGTGATTGGTACATAAAGAGTCATAAGGTCAGTTAAAGGGGTCAGCTTCCGTGTTTTTTCTTTTCTTTTCTATTTTTTTTAGTTATTTCTTGGATTTATTTTACGTAATTTAGTTACTGACTAAAGCTTATGGAAAAACAGGAGATGAGAAAGGACCTTGAAAGTGGGAATGACCTTGGAGTCCCTGATGGAGTCCTATTTAATGGGTTGGGCCCATACCAATATGATAGATCCCTTGTGAGGGATGGTATTCCTTACCTAATAATAAATGTCGAACCAGGTATTTGTTGAGTGACTGCATGTTGTTAGCATTTGGCGCCTAGATTCACTAAGTAAATCTGTGTTTGACTTGTTTCCCTTCTTATTGCTGAGTTACTGAATTTGATTATGAACTAAAGTTTAAATATGCAACAAACTTTGTTCTTCAGTTTTCTGCTGTATGACGTTTAGAGATGAATGTGCAGTAGAATTCTCATCATAACTGGTCGACCTGTCTAGAGTTAGTTTAACCAGCATTTCATTCCACGTGTCAAAAATAAAAATATCTCCATGTGTCAACAATTCGAAAATATGGAAATGTTCATGATTAAAAGAAGTTGAAAAACAACAGATTCGGGAGCTCACATTTTACTGACTAGAGGTGAAAGATGAGGTGGGAAATATTTTGATGGCGAAGAGAAGTTGATTAGGAAAACAAGAGTGAAGTTAAATTAGGGAACAAAAGTGCGATGACAAGAAGTTGAATTTGATAACTTTGTATTAGTTTGACCATCATCTTAAGAAGTGTTTCGAATTTTGATGATTCATCCTGTAAGACTATGTTCTTAATATCAGTTAACCAATTTCTTGTTCTTAGACGAATCATTTATTTCAGCTCAACTAGGAAAGGAATGTTGTTGAGATTTAATTGATATTGAGATATAATTGATTTATTGCTTACATTTCTTTTCATCTTCTAAACAAACGTTGCTCACCATGTAAATACGTGAGTTGTTTTTTCTTGTTTCATCCAATGTTGATTCACTCCATGCTATTTTACAAGCATTTTACACATTTTTCCACAACTTATTCCCCAGACTATGACAGCCATAAATTTCCTTTCTGCAGTGTCTTACTACCCCTCTTAGAAAGGTTGTTTGACACTTGAGGCATGTACTGAGTGCTATTATCCGTAGTTAAGCTGCAATTGTGCTAATAAACTTGTTAAGTATAAACCTCTGAATTTGTGTTTCTTTTTGGTGTTTATGCTCTTCGTATACTGCATAAAATGTGATTTATCAACTCACATGAACTAATATGCAACTAAAAGTTACAATGAATTTCACGTGAAACAGGAAAAACATATCGTCTACGGGTACACAACGTCGGAATTTCTACCAGCTTGAATTTTAGGATCCAAAACCATAACCTAGTCCTTGTAGAAACTGAAGGGTCTTATACAGTGCAACAAAACTACTCAAACATGGATATTCATGTGGGTCAGTCGTACTCATTCCTGGTGACAATGGATCAAAATGCTAGTAATGATTATTACATAGTTGCCAGTCCTCGGTTTTCCAATAATCCAACTTGGACCAAGGCTCCAGGAATTGCTATACTGCACTACTCGAATTCGCAGGGCCTTGCTTCAGGTCCCCTTCCAGACCCTCCCATTGAAAATGACCCGTATTTCTCAATGAATCAAGCAAGATCCATAAGGTTGTGCCAAATGCATTTCTTTTAGCGAAAGTTTTTTATTTTGCTATTTCAATTTTTGAGACATAAAAACTTTTTCGAGATTGCAACCTCCTCGTTTGCGAAGATGTTTGTTTGTTTGCGTGTTACTGTACAAATTTCCGGTAGTCAAAAGGAAATTGACGAAGAATATACATAATAGTTGTTGAGTAATACATTGATGTATTAATTTTTTATTTTTTTTTTTGCTCTGACTTGGAAGATGGAATGTGACTGCTGGAGCTGCTCGGCCCAACCCACAAGGATCTTTCAGATATGGAGATATAACTGTGACCGATGTATATATAGTCATCAACAGGCCTCCCGAGCTTGTTGATGGCAAACGGCGTACTACCCTTAATGGAATTTCGTATTTACCCCCTTCAACACCCTTGAAGCTTGCCCAACAGTTTAACGTCCCAGGTGTCTTCAAACTCGACTTCCCTAATCGGTTTATGAATAGGCCTGCGAAAGTCGACACATCAGTTATTAATGGAACTTTCAAAGGATTTATGGAAATTATATTTCAGAACAATGGTACATCCATGCAGAGTTACCATCTGGATGGCTATGCTTTCTTTGTTGTTGGGTACGGAATTATATTTTGCATAATTTTAGTTAGGGGTTTTCTAGTTGCTTCCATAAACAAACTCTTTAGTGGGTTGGTTGTCTGAAAGTTTGATGCTTTTTCATGTGATTAAAAGGATGGACTTTGGAGAGTGGACAGAGAGTAGCAGGAACACATATAACAAATGGGATGGGGTGGCTCGCTGCACAACTCAGGTAGAAGCACAGCCTTATATTTCGAAACCTAGAGTTTGTATGAAACATGTAGTTTGACTTATAATATTTCCATTTGTTTAAAATTTTGAAATTTGGGAATGAAAATGAGCTTTAAAATTTGAATAACAGATGTTAGCTAATTATTTGATTTTGCGTCGACTTACTAGAACTGACATGTTGGACAAGATATGATTGTAAAATAATATTGAAAGAATTAAAAATGCTGTTTACAATCTAGTCTGACTAAATTTTATGAGTCCAATACCTACTCAAAAAGACTAGTTTACTCTTATTAAAAGAAAACAAGAAAAAACTTCTTATTGCTATATATATGTATTGATTTCATATTTGTATAAAATACAACAAATTAGCGGGATCCACCATGAATATTTCCTCATTTATTTTCTTGCTACTACTTCCTTTCATTTGGATGTTAAGAGTTTCTTTACCCAAAAAGTTATCTTGCATATTGAAATATTTGACGATCACCAGGTTTTTCCTGGTGCTTGGACTGCTATATTAGTGTCTCTGGATAATGCTGGGATGTGGAATCTTCGGACACAGAATCTTGACTCGTGGTACCTTGGCCAAGAAACTTATGTGAGTGTTGTGAATCCAGAGCATGACAGTGACGAGGTGCAGTTGCCCGAGAATACAATATACTGTGGCCAACTGTCATCCTTGCAGAAGTAAGTGATGAAAAATGTTTGTTTTATTTTCTTCTTTTTTGAGCACTCATTGTGGTATTGATTCTAGCTTTTCCGGTGATTCATACATAAAGAATATTCTTAATTGATTTGGTGCCGATAGGATAAAGAAACTAGTAATTCATGGTTTGAAAGATATGACTACAAGTAAAACGGTGCCATGAAAATATATTGATTTATTAACCTTGAGGGTATGTTTGAATAGTGCTTATTAGTTGGTCCTGTTTTATATGAGTGTATCTACACCATTACGTACAAGTGGAATTTGGGAGAAAAACTAGTAACCCCTCGAATCACAAGATTCAAGCGCGGTTCTTGGATATATTTGCGTGTCTTATGTTGGTATTTTTATTTTTAGTCCCTAAATTTAATAGTTTGTACCTTTTGGGCCCCAAATTTTTCCTTTTGGCCTTAGAATCAATCGAAGCCTATTAGTAAACAATAAAATTATTTTATTGTTGCCTCTAATTCAGTATCTTCTGGGAGAACTAATTATAATTAGCCATTAACACGTAGTTTTCACTCTTGCAGGCAACAGGCTCAACGAGTCAACTTCTCCGGGGCACAATCACTTGACAAGATGTTCAAGATTGTTCTCATTGCTATTCTACTAGTTTTAACTTTATTTGGATAAAAGCAGATATTACTTGAGCATTGAACTAAGACTTTCGATCAAATCTGATCTGAGGGAGACAGACAAAGCTATTCAAGGGTTATACATATTTTTGTGTGCTTCGGTGCATGTATATTGTATGATATACATTTCGTGTGTATTTCAGCTCAGTTGTTAGTATGCAATAACTGATATAGGACTTGCAGAGTTGGTGGAGTTTTGATTTGATTGGAAGAGCAATGATTGGCTTTTTGTACGCAGCATTCGGTTGAAAGTTTCACAATGTGTACTTCATGTGATTGATCTAAGGAATACAAAAAGTTGTTATTCCTTTTGAGAAGGTTCATTCCTTTTGCATTTTTGCTTGTTATGATCTGGTATGATCAAATATGATTTGAATTCAGGTACTATAAAATTAGTCTGTTATAATCTATTTGATAAGGCATGTTCCTTGAATTGACAAAAGCACAAAAGGTGAAATTTTTTTCCTGCCATTTTTGTGGGTCATTGAAATTTTAATTGCATTTTTTTATCTTGTAAACTTTTGTCCAACTCATTGTGGTACAAAGCTCAGAATCATTATTCATTAGTTCCAGGACCGTGCTTTGATGAGAACAAAAATACTCCAAAACCATCTAACTGGTTTCCATATATAAAATACAGTACATCAGAAATGAAACAAGAGAAGGAAGAAGAAAAATAAAAACATTTAACACTCTAAACACATTCCTTAACATGGCACAAATGTTGAATGCTAGGTTTTCCCATAGTCACTCTGTAAGAATCAACACCAAATCCAGATTTTTTACACAACTTTTGAAACTCAATTTCCAAAATCAATCTATTTCTTGTTCGCCTTCTCGACTTCAATAGTCTCGATTAAGCGTCTCAACTCACCAGCTGGTACAGTGAATGCTTCAGAGTATTCGGCTCCACCTCCATTCTACCAGCCTTCAGGAACAAAAATATTGTCAAAAACCATAAGATAGAAAGGTTTAAAAAATCAATCGGAACACTTGAATTTCTCTTAGGTTGATACTCGATGGAGAAATCACACAATCAAGATTTTTGTTTTTTTTAGGAAAATACCTCAACTTTGAGAACATTCAGTACAGCGCTGTTGAATGTGGTGGCATTTGCATCTGTAATCCAAAGCCCTAAGGAATCCAATGCCTCAATCAACCTTGAAAAACCACCTCTCTTTTGCATGCACACAACCTTCACCAAGAACTCTTTATTCCCGAGTTGGTTCACTTCGACTCGTGCCTAAAATAGGAAAGTGTGATTTTTTTTTTTTTAGCTAAGTTCATGTAAAATGGTGAAGAAAAGAGAAAACCGAGGTTACATTATAGAGACAAGCGATGTTTTCTCTGACCTCAATTGATGCTTTCTTCTCTGAACATTCCTTGATCGACATTGTGGGGTTTGGTTTAGCAATAACATTTTTGCATTCATTTTCTTCCATTGCTTGGAGTTCGTCTTGATAGCCATCGATAGTCTCTTGCAACTCCTTTATGTACTCGGCTGCATCACCCAATGTTGAAACTCGATCCATCTAAAGGAAGAATGAACGCAATTGAATAACAAAACAAGAGT